GGGGCTTACACACAGTGTTTGCTCTCAATCAATGAATGTCAGACAGCAGTATTACTTATGGGACCCTAAAGGATTGTATACAGTAAGCATGTGTTAACAGTCTACACAGAATCTACTGACTTTTGCAGAAGTACAGCTGCCTGATTTGACCTTCCCCTCTCGGGAACTCCTTCCGAATCTCTAATCAGTTCTTTACCTCGAAAGACTTTTTGAAAGTGACTTCAAATCAGTGATCACATTGCAGAGGCAGCTTCAGGTCATGGCTCTTGCTCTCCTCCTCATCCTCAGAGCAAACCCTTACCAAATGCTCAGTGGATGACAAAAATCCTAGGTATGGGCACATAATAATGCCTATGTCTTATTTTTTTCTCCACTTTATAAATGGTAAAATTGGCTTAAATAATTTGTCCCAAATCACATAAGCTAGTAAGTGACAAATGAACAGAAAAGTAAGTCTTCTTAAATTGTTCTGGCATATCTTAAAGCACCTCATGAGCTTCAAGCACATTTTGAGCAATTTTTTTAGGTTAGAGCCAGTGTTTAGCACTGTTGAAACCAATGACACCAAGCCGCTCAGACCCCTAAGACACCTACCATCTCTATTAACCCAGTTAACCTTTTAAATGATTGCTAAAGCTTGAGAAATCAGTTTCACAACTTAAAAAGAAAAATTTCCAGGAATATTGATCACAAAATTAGAAAATTCTCTTTTAATTCTTCTCAGCAGAATTATTTGCTTGATTTCTTTGATAAATTGCCACAATTAACTTAAGAAGATAAGCATGTAGCTTTTTGAGAACAAATTATTCTTAGAATCTCAACTACGATGATCCTGATGAAACGGAATACTTGTCCTTCTCCCAGTCCTGAGTTGACTTCCAAATGCAAAGCACCCTGGCCTTTTATGTCAGAATCAGGGGGAAATGTGGAGAAGAAAATCTGACAAGAGATTCAAAGAACAAGTTGTACTCATATTCAATGCCCAGAAATTACCTTGTGGGTCCTCTAATTTTTCAGGAAAACTTTCATTGCATGATAGCTTTTCGATTGGTTTAATTATGCTTTCTTCTAAAGAGAAGGCAGATGGAAAGAATGAATAGTAAGGAGAATATTTTAGGAAAAGGAGAGAAAAAAGGGATTAGATGATTAATGAAAAGATGTAGAAAGAACTCTTAAAATGAGAATATGTGCCCATGTCTTGTCAAAGCTTTTATTTGATGCCAATTGTATATTCCCTTGCTACTCAAAGTTGCCCTGCTGTTATTTAAAGGGATTTGTATAGCTGGTTGATTCAGTGAATATTATTTTTAAATACCTGAGGAAAAAAGTAAGTAAATTACAGCACTATAGCATAAAACTCACCTCAACATCGGGCAATGGATAAGCTGAGGCTTTAACAAATCTGGAAAACTTGTAAAAAGTCTAAGTGTATCAATGTCATATCAGAATACCTCATTAGAATACTTATTTGCTAGGACAGTAATGATCAAACTTTTTGATCCAATAACACATACATTTTTTAAGAAAGACTTTGTTCTTCTTCATAGGCTTTTAATTTGATATCTAAAATTTTTAATCATAAAGTTAACACTTGAAAAGAATGTTATTTCTGGCATATTGTGATTATAGACATTTTAAAAATAAAATGATTACTTTTTTTCTTTAAACATAACCAGTGGAATCTAAATAACATAGTGACTTAAAAATTTGACACACAAAAAACACATGAACAAGTTCCTTTTTTTTTGAGACAGAGTCTCACTACATCACCCTGGGTAGAGGGCTGTGGCGTCACAGCTCACAGCAACCTCAAACTCTTGAGCTTAAGTGATTCTCTTGCCTCAGCCTCCTAAGCAGGTGGGACTAAAGACACCCACCACAATGCCCAGCTATTTTTTGCTGCAATTGTCATTACTATTTATTGGGCCTGGGCTGGGTGTATGTGGCTGGCACCCTAACCACTGAGCTACGGGTGCTGAGCCACAAGTTCCTTTTTGACACTGGGAAATTTCATATTAATTCCTTTTCCCTCTAAAATTATATTTTTATTTATACTTCAACTTCCAAATTGTATCTAAATATAATCTTAGGCTTAGAAGTCTTTTTTTTTTTTTTTGCAGTTTTAGCTGGTTTGAACCCGCCACCTCCGGCATATGGGG